TATATATATATATATATATATATATATATATATATATATATATATATACATATATATATGATAAAGTTGTTGTGTTAGTGTATGTTTTTGTATGAAATACCTGACAACATTATTCCACTGGTTGAGTTTGAGTGGAAGATCTCTATGGGATCGGATCCACTTGGCGTATGCTGGGTACATAATAGTTTCACTTGTGGGGCGGATAGCCACCTTCTCCGGCAGCTCGGATTCGCCGTAGTGCGTCACCCAAGCCACCTCAGGCTTGAAACCAGCCACGTGGTCCTTCTCACGCTCCAGCTTAGCCTGAAATATATGTAGATAAATATGTATATACATATATTTACATACGTATACATACATATACATACATATATATACATTTACATACATATACATACATTTACATACATATGCATATACGTACACATACATACATATACATACATGTACATACATATACATACATATACATACATACATACATATATATATATATATATATATATATATATATATACATATACATACATACATACACACACATACATATACATACACAGATGCATACATACATACACATACACAGAGCAGCCGCAGCAACAGCAACACCAACAGCAACAGCAGCAGCAGGAGCAGGAGCAACAGCAGCAGCAGCAGCAGTAGCAGCATCTGACCTGTGAAACAAACATAGGAAAGTAGCAGTTTTCAACTCCTCTTTTTTTTATGCTGTCATCGAAGAAGCGCTGCACTGTCTCCCACATTCTGTACGCCCACGGCCGTATTATATAACACCCGCTTATGTCGTAGTACTCCACCAGCTCACCACGAACTATCACCTGAATAGAAAATAATATATTTATATATTAATATATAAATGTTTAAATATATAAATATTTAAATATTTAAATAAATATATAATATATTACTTTGTTGATCATATATATATATATATATATATATATATATATATATATATATATATATATATATATATATATATATA